TTTTCTAAGCTTCAGGTGAAATATATGTCCAAAAGCCCAAAATTTTGGACAAAATTATGCTATTTTAGCCAAAATAAATCTGCCCATATATTTCATATGTCGTTCAAAATCGAAAATTGACATTTAAATTAAACCCTGATTTGTATCACATATGAAAACCAGTTAGTGAGCTGTTAGGTATGAATTTATTTGCAATCTATTCCTTATTGCAATGTGATTGTATTGGTTTTTTTCATGAATGTTCATTAGGGATCTGAACCCTAAACTTTTTCTTTCTTTCTTTTTTTTTTTTTGGTAGGCTGAACCCCAAACTTCACCAAATACTGACTATATATTTATACAATACAAGAGAAAAAATCCCAACTCCCAAGCCTTTTAACATTATATATTCTCATAGTAGTAAATAATTGTGTTTAACATTTTCTTTAGGAAACTGAAAACAAACCCTTTTTACATGGCAACAAGCGCAGCCTTTAGGAAATTGAATCATAAATTAATGAAATTTGGCTCTATAAATATTAAAAATATATATTTTTTTGTTCATGACTAATAAATTAATAGACTATTATAAAACTTCAAAAATCTATATTATTATTTATTTATAACTGCCATGATGTGAGAACTTCCTTTTTCTACTTGTTTACTAGTAATAATTAATGTAAATTAAAAAAAAAAAGGTTGGTACAAACTTCATTGGCTTCTATTGGGGGAGGACTAAGGAGTTGTGACGGCTGAAATGTGACAAACTTTCCTCTAGAGAGGCATCATAATTTTGGTTCAATTGGACATATTCAGACCAACCCATCTCTCTCTCTTATATTAATTTAAATAGAAGAACAAATAGAAGGGAGCCCATAGTTAAATATAATAGGGTCCTAATTAATTATGGAAGGAATCTTGCTAGGACAATGGCTTCACGTGAGTGGCTGTTGGGAAGAGAAGAGCTGTTGTCTTTCATCTATTTTCTAAGAAGATAGGATGTGTTTTCCCATATTATTAAGGGTTAAACACCAGTTAAGCACCAATTAGATTAATCCCTCAGATGTATTAAAAATATATGTGTGACTGCACACCCATATGTTGTATTGTTTATATAGTAAAAACAATTTTAATCAAGTGGGAGAATCAGGTTCCATCAAATCCTTGGACTTATTCCTAACTTCCCCCCTCTTTCCGGTATTGCAGCATCTTCTCTTACAGCTCTGGGCTTGTTTTGTTCTTGATCAGATCCTCTTTGGTAGCCACAACCAACTGTATTTTTATAAGAAAATTAAAAAGACTTCAGATGAGCATCTTTCTAGTGGAAGAATGATAGATCTCTATGAATTTTAAAATTGAAAATTTCATGTGTTTACTCTCTCTCTCTCTCTCTAGGATCCAAGTTAATGATTGGGCCTTTGAGAGCTTCTAAGGTTGGTAAAATAATAAAATAGGAGAACCATGTCATTCAGAGAATAGGGGTTTATAATTCTACTTCTACTTGTACCAGTGTTTACATGTGGCGCTTGTAATGTAGCCGCCGAGAAAAGGATGCAAATACAAGCTCCAATCATCCTATCTCATCGTCATCATCTAAGCCTTGTCTCAACTATATGGGGTCAGCTACATGAATCCTATTTCGCCATTCCGCTTTGTTCAATGCCATATACATCATTAAGTTATAAACATTTAAATCATTTCTTATTATTTCCTCAACCTTAATTTAGACTCAAATTTGCTGATGCTGAAGATACGTTTATCACATGGGTTGCCTGATCAGAACAACCCTGAACAGATTAAGGGAGCACTTTTGATGCTAAATTACTATTATAGTATTAATAATTGATGCACTTGGTAAATAGTTGGTGGGTTGAGAGTCTGAAGTTAAAAAAAAAAAAAAAAAAAAAGATTTCCCACCCCTTCTAATTGGTTCTGATGTAAATAACCCAACAAGAAAAGACAGTTTTCATTGTACAAAGGGATAAAAATATAGTTCAAACATTTAAACCTAAAAAAGGATTTCTAATAATGGAGATAAAGTAGAGAACTAGGCACAAGGTGGATCAATGCATATCAACTCAATAAAGCAGATGAAAGGGACTATATCTGCATTTGTATTCTTCATTTCTATTGTCTTGGTGCATGCATGTGTTTGCTCGTTTTCTTTATATTAAAATAAAGGATTAGTCCATAACACATCAATTAGACATCTCCTCTTCCTTTCCAATTCAATAATTGATTTTTAGAGGAAATTATTGACCTCATGAGCTTGTTCAGAGGGTCTCTAAAGTTTACCCTTCTTGTCATTGTTGATTTTTGCAGGTTTGGCATTATTTGATCCATCCCCAGTTGGGCATGGACATGTCCCAATGACCTTTGACACTCTAGACCAGCTCTGATTCTGCAATCCATTCTCACATTATCATGTAATTGGTAAGCTGCCGACTAGCTAAGCACATCTGTTTCCTGTTTCTAAACAGTAATGCTCTGTTTGGTTGCAGTGCAATTTTATTTGCATTACTATAAATGCATAAGAGCACAAATGAAAAAAGTGCAAGTTTTTGTTTTAGGTTTTATTTTATTCTACTTTATGTCTTAATTTATTTTATTTGTATTTCAATCAAACAAAACAGAAATAGGTCAGAATTTACACTCAAATCATTTGCACTGCCATGGTTTAGAATCAGTACAAATTTATTTGCATTGCAATTAAACACAGCCTAAAGAGCAATAAAATGTCAAAGAAATAAGACAAAATTCATCCATCCATCTCCAAGTTTGATAGATTTGCTCAACAAGTGGGGTCTTGAGTTTGGAGGCTTTTGTATGGACGGACATTGTAAACCAGCAGTTGAGGATTTCTTTTCTGGTATTTTGGTGATACGTCCGAATCCCCAGTAAGGGCCATTTATATAAAACAGCACCACTCTAATAACTCCTTCCCCAAAGTCAGTGGTTACGGAAATTGAATCCGTGTCTCTACTAGAACAAACCAGCTAATGCACCAATTGAATTACTCCTCAATAGGCAGCAGTTGAGGGTTGAATCATTCCAAATTGCTTAGTATAATTTTAAAAATTGGTGACAGGGATACTTAGGGGGTGTTCATTTTTGGGATTTTGGGAGGGGGAAAAATTGGTCAATGGAATTTTAGTTCCTATTTATGTGGGGAATAGGGAAAGTTTATTTTCCTGTGTATCATTTATCCCTAGGTAGATGAATAACTTTCTCACCTATGAGAAAGTTGTTAATACTTGAATGGGATAAAAATACTCCTTTTAATAATAAATTTTTATGACTAAAATGGTCATTACCTTATTTACCTAAGAAATAAAAGAACATGAATAAACACACTTATCCGAATAAATGCTTCCCAAAAAAATCTTAACCAAATAATTATATTTATTCAGATAAATAATTTACTAAAAAGCGAAGGACGCCTTAATTTTGTAAAAGGTGTTTAAGCCTGAGTTCAATCCATATACAAAAGTATTAAATGATTTCAATTTGATAAACCTTTCTCCTTTATATGAATTTTGAACCTTCAACTCACAGGGTAAAATAAGCTCACACTAAAGAAAAATTGGAATCTAAACCTACACTCAGGTAAATTGTTGCATATGTCATGAGATTGGATCAAGCCTACAGGCATTATTGATGAGGGAAGTACTTAAATGCTTATATTTAGAATCATTCGTATTTATTGGTTCCTTTATCTATAATTCCATTGAGGATTTATTGATAGGAAGCTTATTAAAGAGAAGAGAGAACTGGGGTGGGTGGGGTGAGGGACTGAGCGTCAAAGTAGGGCCAGTGCTGACCACGTGGCAGACAGCATCGTCAAACGTCCCACATGGGTCCCACTCTGGCAATCACGTTGGCCCATCACATGGCTTCATGGGTACTTTGGTCTTTGCATAATTAATTAATCCTATTAATGATCAGACCCATTTTTTAATTTAAATTACACTGAACCCCATTCTAATTTCTTCCACTTAAATAAAGGCCACTGAGGAAAGAATATTTCAAGTGAGGAAGAAGTCGGCTACACGTCGGCGTCGTCGGCTCCGGTAATCTTTACGGTATCCTAGGTTTTGATGACTTCATCCACGGCACACCAGTCGAGGCCATCTTCTTACTCACTCATACACAGGTAAATCTTAGTTGTGCGCGTTTTTGGTTTTTTCTTATTTTCTATTTCTCTTTCATCCCTAATTACTAAAATATCCCTACTCCTCCATCAGAATCATTAACCCAACCCAAAGTGACCTTGCATTCTACACTGAGGGCACATTCGTAACTGCGTTCTTCACACATGACACACTATTCGCGTCATTTCGATTAACTGCCGCTCCAATCGCACGTGCCAGCTGACTAACTGACCGACCCGCATCTTTTATCTTCCCGTCACGACTGAACCGGCTGCTACCCAACAGAAAGGACCGCTGGGCCCGGTTATCGTGGACTAGGCCCAAAGATCACTGTTGATTAATAAGAAGGGTTGATACTTAAGTATATATCCGGATTTCATGTGATTAGTACAGATCTAATTGGATCCAACGGAATTTGGACTTTTTTATATAGAAATTATCAAACTAGAATCGTCAAGATCCATATATTGTTCAGATCGAATCCGAATCATACTCCGATGCACTGACAACTCTAACCCGAATCGTACTCCATTTCCCAATTGCCTCGGCTGATCATGGGTGCTGACAACATCGTGCGTAACATAACGGTGGTTTATTTATTTATTTTTATTTTTTTAACCTTCTCCTGCCAAACTTTGGTGGCAGCGCACCATCTCCAAGACGACGGTGTGAAACCTGAATCCTATTCCTATTCCCCTGTGACATGGGCTGAGATAGCATTCATGGGCCGACTTGGACGGTAGAGACTCTTCCTCTGATTTTCAACAGCGAATAATCCCTGACCGTCTGATTGATGAAGAAAAGTCCCGAGATTGCGTGTTCAAAATTCCGTGTTGTTTTATTTGGTGGGGCCTTGGGCCTCACCATTCATTATACAACTCTAATGAATCATGGGCGGTGGGCCAGGCTTAAGTTCGTAATTCTAATGAATATATAATGACGGAAAAGTCAGTGAGAGATGTTTAATATTACCAAACAGCCACTGTATGGTGTATACATACAGTAATAGTTCCACTACGTAAAAGAATCAAAACCACCGTCAATCCGCCATGAAAGTCACCGAGTGGTCGTTGCTGCTTCGCGAATCGCAAATTCTTCCATTTTCTTATGAGATTTGCAGGTTTTCAACACAGCTCCCAATATAAACACACAAGGCTTTAGAGCCATGTCAGCCGCCTTCAATTCTCTGAACCTGCCAACACCCACTTTTTCAGAGATAATTTTAATGGCGGATATGAGATGGGTCAACCAAACACTAAACTAATACTTCTTACAGCTACCGACCTCTCTCTGCTCTGTTCTTTATAAGTTTACAACCAATTCCAACGGTGGTCTCCACAAGATTCTCCACCAATCTCATTCTCAGGCCTCAGCAGCCTACCATGGACGAAGAAACCCTTTTCCCCTCGGACACCGATCTCGACCTCAGCTTCAACAGTTGCGCTTCTAACACCTCCACTGACCGCACCTTCACCTCTTCGAGCGCTCGTAGCAGTCTTACTCTCAGTTTCAAAGGCTCCCGCCTTTCGTCCTCCGCTGGAACAGGGCGACCCCACCGGAAGTCCGACCCACATTGGACGGCAATCAAAGCCGCCACCAACCTATCCTCCGACGGCTCCTTACACCTTCGCCACCTCAAGCTCATCCGCCACATCGGCAGCGGGAATCTCGGACGTGTATTTCTCTGCCGTCTCAAAGATTATGACGGCGCCAACTTCGCTCTCAAGGTCGTCGACAAAGACGTTCTTACCGCTAAGAAGCTCTCTCAAGTGCAGATGGAAGCCCAAGTCCTTTCCATGGTCGACCACCCTTTCCTCCCGACGTTGTATGCCCATCTAGAGGTGTCACATTATTCTTGTCTGTTGATTGATTATTGCCCAGGTGGTGACCTCCACTCGCTCCTCCGTAAGCAGCCGGAAAATCGCTTCCGGGTGGAAGCCGTTCGGTTTTTCGCGGCGGAGGTTTTGGTGGCTCTGGAATACCTGCACGCGATTGGGGTGGTTTACCGGGATCTAAAACCAGAAAACGTTTTGATTAGGGATGATGGCCATATAATGTTGTCGGACTTTGACTTGTGCTTTAAGGCCGATGTGGTCCCCACTCTCGAGAAACGCTTTGAACCCACCGTGGTGCAGTCAACGAAAAACCAGCCTAGCTGTTTGGGAACGGTATCCCGACGATATGAGATGACGGAGACGGCTGAGTTCGTGGCAGAGCCGACGGCCGCGTTCTCGAAGTCGTGCGTCGGCACCCACGAGTACCTGGCGCCGGAGCTCGTGAGCGGCAACGGGCATGGTAACGGAGTCGACTGGTGGGCGTTTGGGGTGTTCCTTTTCGAGCTGTTGTACGGGCATACGCCATTTAGGGGAGGGACGAAGGAGACGACGCTGCGCAATATAGTGTCGAGCAAGCCACTTAAGTTTCCGGAGTGGGACGTGGCGGAGGAGGAGGGAATGGCGGAGGTAAGGGATCTGATACAGAGACTGTTGGTGAAGGACCCGAGGAGGAGGCTAGGATGCACCAAGGGTGCGACGGAAATAAAGCAGCACCCGTTTTTCCAGGGGATTAAGTGGCCGTTGATACGGACCTACAGACCGCCGGAAGAAGTTCGTGGGCTGCTTGTGAGGAAGGCAACTACCCATGTTAACAGAATTTCTTCGAGGAGACGACGAACACGGTGGACTTGGAAGTACCTCAGTCATTTCATTTTCACTACGTCAACAAAAAACGGGTCTAAGTCCAAAAAATGGATCTGATTTTTTCTTTTTCCTTTTTCCTCTTCATTTATTTAGTTTCTGTATCATCCCTCGTAGAAGTGAAAAGGAAAAATGAGAGTAGAAATTAAGGAGTATTTTTTTTTGTAGGGATCAGATGTATATGGTGTAATTATAAAAAGAGAAGAGATAGAAATTATGTCCCGGGTCGGGTCATAAAAAAGTCCAGATAGCTATATCAGTCCATGTGTGTCACGTTGACTGAGAGAGATCATCAGATCATCAGAGATTGTCAACCAGCGTTAAGAACGCGTTGCATTCCTCGGCTTCTCTAAAATCCAAAGGGCATCATCGAGGCGCCTTTTACCGAACAAAGACCCATTGGTTAGAGAGCTCCCTCCATTACTTTTATTATTAAATATAATAAATATTGTTTTTTTGGCTTGATGGATTTGGGATTGCAATTTGACCCGTTCCCTGAACGGCTCTATTAGTAAAAATTTATGAGGCCGGAAATACATGATAGCGGAAAGCTTTGACCAATCACCGATGTGAATTTTGGTTATTGATTCCTACTTTTATAAGCCATTGATTGGTTGTAAGTTTTTTTAAGGCCCGTTTGTTATATAATTGGAATCGGAATTGGAATGATTTATTCTTATAATTTGTTTAGTTCAGATAAGAATGGGAATGAGAATTGGAATAAATAAGAATGAGATTTTATTCGTAAAGGAGGGGTAGAAAATGATCATTCTCTCATGGAAAAATGTCATTCCAGCATAAATGAGAATGAGATTCTGATTCTGCTCAATCAAACATTTGGAATTGGAATAGAACCCTTATTCCCATGAACCAAAGGGGGGCTAAGTATCATAATCCTTGGGAGTAGCTTTTTCACTATTGATCAGGTTTCGGGTGGGTTTCAAGGAACCAAAAACTCAGATGATCAGAAACAAGGCAGGGGTGATATTTGTTCACCTTGCCCCAATATATAGGAATGACCGGGGTGGGCAGGGAAATTTTGTAAATCTCCATTTCCTTCGAGAACAATGATGGGTTGAGATTTCTAGCCCCATTGGGTTATGTAGCTACATGCGGAGTTCCAGCCCTAAGGCTGCATTTGGAAACGATGCAAATGGAATGTAAATCTTGGTTCAGGATAAATTTGCACTCTGATTCACTTTTGCCTATGTTTGGCAACATTACATTTATGCATTGACAAATGACAGATCAACGCATATTTACATTGATAATAAGATGTAAAAACACATCAATAAAAAAGAAGTAAATTTGCATTCAAGTGAGCTTTTGATTAAAAAAAAAGCATATGTTTTATTGAAATTCATGTTTGCATCCATTACAATTTAGTCTGTTTGGTAAGAAGGTAAATTTGTTAGTGCAAAACTAACCCAACTTTGCTATTTATATGAACCATTTTACACTCTACACTCTACATATTTGATAAGAAGCTAAAAGTCTCTACTACAAGCTTACAATAGGTATTCCATTGCAAAGTTGCAATATATAGACAATTTGCCATCGAATTTGCTGCAAACAGAAACTTTGCAAAAACTCTGCAAGCACAGGCATCCAAATTGCACATTGTGAGCATTTCCCTATAATTCAAGGTTTCAACTATGATATGGAAAAATTGGAATCAATCTATCATAAATATGGTAACTATTCAGGTAGTATTTATGAAAATTCATAGGAGGGTTTTGATTGGTCAAAGTCCTTCAGGTATCATGCCTTCTCGATAGTATAGATTTTCCCATAATTCTAACATACATGTAGAGGAGATATTTCCAATATCAGGTGGATGCCAAGTGTCTTAGGAGGTGCAATTTGGGTGGAGACAACCCTGAGTCTATATTTATCCGGCCCAAAATTTTGCATGGGTTAAGCTTGAATTTTTGGTACTCGAGCCGAAGACTTCAGGATTTTTTATTTTTTTGGGTTGGGTCTGGACCTAGCCCTTAGATCGCCCAAACCCAGCCTAGCTATAATTTTAGAATGGATTTATTGACCAACCTAAGCCAGACCTAAGCTTGGACCTTAGGCAGGCTGGGCCTGGGTTGATCATAAACCCGGCTTGAGAGGATCCGGGTTCAATGTCTTCAGACAACTTAAACCATATATAAGACGCCCTCATCGTCATCCAAGGTATCCATTTGGTTGAACTTGATTTTTAACCCGATCCGATAACGCAATTCGGATTTTATAATTATAATTTGATTAAAAACACGGATCAACACTAATCCAATACCATAAGCATTTAAATATACATTCCTCACATCTAAAAGCCAGATTAATAATATAATTTTATTAATCTGAAATAATATATTCTTTTGTTTAAGTTGTTAAGAGAAGTGATTTGTTTAATTTAAAAACCCAATGATAAGATCCGATTATCAAATTTGGATGTTGTGCACACATCGATTTTATCCGGCCCGTTTGCCGCTCCAAGATCGAATTTCCATATTCGAAAACCGGACGCCCGAGAAGGTGACCCATTTTCGTTTCTTTAGCTGGAGCTTTGGACTATTGCTAGATTTCCCATTCTCCCTCTCTGTCCACCTGGGGAGTCTGCAACAGTCAAGAAGCCAACGAAAGAGGCGAGTGGAGCGCAGAGCCGCAGACAGCATATGCACGCTCGACCTGGCAAGCCCTAGAAACCAGTAGATGAAGCTTCAATCAGCTTCTTCAGAATCATCACAACAAAATGTAAGTTCCTTTCTAATTGGATTATCAAACAGTTTTAGGCCTGAATCCTTCAACTTGTATGAAAATAATTTTCTCAGGAGTTGGAAGATGGAAACGACAATCTTTCTTTGGTTGTCCATTTAATGAAGTCTTAAGGATTTGAGATTTGGAATTATCTCTGCAATAGTTGGCAAAGTGTTGGTTTTGTATTTGCTTCTGCTGAATAGTTCTACATGGATGTAAGAGTCAAAGTGGACAAATCCTGTGAGTTTTGATATATGGGTGCCCCTTCCTAGTTCCTATGTTTTTTTATTATAAAATATAATACAATCTAACCTAAAATATAAACTGTAGAAATGATCTATGGAGTTTGCGTCTATAATAGCTTACTTAATTTTACTGTTTGCTACAGGGGGCAAGGTGGGTTTTGTCCAGGACCCAATTGAAGCTGAATTTGCAGCAGTTTTGGAAGCTCTATTTCTTGCTAATGATAGAGGTTGGAGGGAGCTAACAATTATCTCTGATGCTAATGTGATGGTGGAGGCTATAAAAGGACATGAAGCTATCATATCTTAGCGATTTGCTTTTTTGATTGATAGAATTAGGAATTTGACTAAGTTGTTTTCTGTTGTAAAATTTTTCTATAAGCCTCGGCCCTATACTAAGCCAGCTCATATCATGGCCCAGGAGGCTAAGTCTTTAGTTGATAGTTTGTATTTGGAACTTCCCTCCTAGCTGGCTAGACCCTTTTCTCTCCCTTGTTTCTTAGTTGTTACTTCTCTTTTCACTTAGCAGAAAAAAAAAAGGTTAAGCAGATTACTGTTTTGTAAACTTTTATGTTGCTCTGTCTTGGGCTTTTATTCTATAGATTTCTGTTTTTGAATCTCTTTCTTTCTATTGGAACATAATGTACTTGTCCTTTTTTTTTCTTAATTTATTTATTAGTATGTTAATGCGGGCTTCCAAATCCATCTAAATGAGGTATTCATGCTACATGGTGGGCCACTAGATTGTCAACATAAAGACAGAAGCTCCAAAAACCCTCTTTAACAAGTTTTTTTTTTGTTTATTAATAAAAATAAAAATAATGAAAGCTGATAAACAACAACAACAACGAAAACAATAATAATAATAATAATAATAATTATTATTATTATTGTTATTATTAAATAAAATACAACAAAACTGAAAGATAGCATAAATAACAAAGAGGTAAAAAGGAGATAAATCACAAGAGTCACACTTTTTTTCTTCAGACTATTTCACTTTTAGCTGAGACCTAATTAACTGGACTATGAGTTTAACCATTAGTCCATTACTTCCTTTTGTTTTTGACTCACAACTAGTGGTGGCAATTGGGCGGGTTGGGTTGGGTTGGGTTGAGCTTCAACCCAACCCATTTAATCTGTCAATCCGTTAATGACCCAATTATGTAAAATTAAATGGGTTGGGTTTAGCCCAAACCCGCTTTAATCCAATCCGACCCGCCCAAACCCATTAATCTTATATTTATGTACTTAAAACAGAAAACTAACTCCATTCTCATAAATAAGTTGGTCATAGCTTAGTGGTAATAGTAGTTGTTATTTAAATGGGTTGATCACACAACCTACCAAGTGAATGGATGGGTTAGATTCTGGGTGGGTTGGGCGGGTTCAACGGGTTGGTGAAAAATTGCCGCCCCTACTCACAATCAATGCTTAATGATGCATTAACTAAAATACTATTCCATAATCAGGTCACAATCTCTGTGGAGTGGCCCCAAATCAATGTTGGTGGCTTACTGTACACTCCACAAGGACACTCCCACCCCAAAAAGCAGAGAAACAATCTGAAGGTCTTTAACTTTACACATATGGTACTTTAAATTGTAGACATATAATGAGACTCATAATTTCATATAGTAGCAGGAGTGAAGGTTTACATCAACAAATCTTCTTTGATAGCCTCTTATAATATGCCCAGAAGGCTGACCGGGATTCTTGGTCAGGCACTGAATTCAAAACTACAGTTGAACATAGAAACTATCTTGGTAGCACCAGTAGGCCTATTTTTAATATTCTGACAGAGAAATTCCAACAAAGCATTCAAGCTTGGAGGGCTAGTCTTCCATTGCTTTCTGGTAAAACAATTTTGGTTTAGTCTGCATTAGCAGCCTTACCTTCTTACCTAATCTGCGGGGTGGTGTTACAAATATGTTAGAACCATGGTTTGAAGTTTCAAAACAATCAATGCTACTTTTTTCAAGTATTTAGGCATTCAAAGCATCGATAGACTATATTATTAACTTTTCACTGGAGTACAATTGCTGGGGAGCGTAGGATTAAAATTGGTGCAAATGCAGAAAATAATTTTCCTAAGTTAGCATGGAGGATATTCCAGAATCTGTTCCTCCTGATATCCAAAATTGCTTACTAATTATTGCAAGGTCTCTTTTCTAAGGGTATAAAAATCTCCAGCCAGCTTTTGATGTTGGAAGAGAATCCTAGTAGAAGAGAACATGCTAAACAAAGGGTTTAAATGGTGCATAGGGGATGGTACCTAATTGAATGTATGATCTGATCAGTAGGTTCAAAGGGCAGCCAATAGTATGGCAGATACATTAGCAAAGAGGTGGGGAGATCAAATATTTTGGGCTCAGCTGTAAGCAAACACAAAGGGAGAGATAGTTATATGTTCTCTCCAAGGATTTATGTAAATATGTATCATTTATATTGATGGTTACTTATCAAAAATAAAAGACATACCATTAGGAAAGCTTTCTATACAACCCATACCAGATCCTCATGAACAGATCTCAAGGTAAGGGACATTATTAATTATTGCCCTCATAGCTGGGAGATGGGAATATTGAACATCTATCCGAAGTGATATACATAATTACATGGTAATCTGAAAGACCGATAACCTGCAATCCTGAGTTTGTAGATAACATAGTTTGGCACCATTATAAATCAGGAAAAGTAACTAGTAAATCAATCTCTGACTGGCTTATTAAAGCGAAAACACCCCGGCAGTGCAGTGGTAAAGACTGCAGGCAATGAATCAGAAAATATTCTTTGGTTTCTACCAGAAATAGAATTAACACAAAAGATGTGCTGGTTCAGTGGGCATGAAAATAGATCAAATGTGTGCTTTTATGTCAACGTGGATGGAGGAGTATCCATATTTTAAAAGAAAGAAGCACAACCAAAGTGCAAGGGGTCCCTAGAGTCTGAGGCACAAATCAAGGTGTGAACCTGAATGAAGTGAAGATGCAGTTGAAGGGGTAAATTCATCTACTGTAACTGTTGAATACTTGTTTAATGAGAATGAAGATCTTTTCTGGGTGCCACTTGCTATAAACAACTCAGGAAATTTCCAAGCTTGGGTAACATACCTGAGGTTTTCTGATGTGAAAACTCATTAAAAGTTTATCTGGTTGATATTAAAGTTGGTCATTCTCAAACTATAACCTCTTCAAGGGGTTTCCACTATTCTTCTTCTTTTCAATTTTCATTTACAGTGACTTTACATTCTATTGATTCAGAACATGGTGAAGGAGGATTTGACATGGAGATGATTGCATGGAAAGATGAAAGTTTTCATGCTAGTGAACCTCTTCTTGTAAGCCCTCCTATTCTTCCTCTTGATGAAGCAACCATCAACAAGGAACCTGAGTAGACAAATTCCGGGTGGGATGAGGAGACTCTAGCTAATGAGATTGCTCTCTTCTACTAGTTTGTTCAAAGATAAACTGGTATGCCTTACACTTTTTGTGTGTGTGTGTGTGTGTGGGCGTGCGCACATGCATGTTTTTGGGTTTATGACATAGAACAACAAATACTGTTTCTGAATTTTTTCAAATCCATCTTACATTTTTTCCTATTCTGCCTTTCCATAGTAAAACTGAGAAGCTTACACTGCACAACTATTAAGGGTGCATGAATAAAATGTTGTCTACCTATGAGAAGACTCATTCAAAATTTCTAAAGATGTTTTTGATCTATGTAGTGACTTGATGGAGTTAGACCCATCTCATTCTAGATATTACAAGGATGGGTACAGCCAAGTCCTAATGAAACATCTCTCTCTCTCTCTCTCTCTCTCTCTCTCTCTCTCTCTTCGTGAGTGCATGCATTATCATCTTTCCAAATGATTATTGTTTAATTCATCATGTTGCATAGGAGATCAGCTAACGGGTTGGCTGATTATTTAGCTAAGCAAGGGGTGCATAAGTCTTCAGTTGTTTTGGTCTCAGTTTTAATTCTGTTTTTGTAAAGTGCCATTTTTTACTTTAAAAGAAACTAGTGGTCATAAAATATCATCCATAGTATCTGTAGCAACTAGAAGTCTGAAAAAATCAGTTTCTATCCTGTTCCTTTCTTTCTGGATCTCCCAACAACTGCAAAGACAATGAAGCTCTGAAATTTTTTTTCCTTAAAATTGCCAGGTGGCCAATTTGAAAAGATCTCATGAAGATGCAATGGATTGAAAGTTGAAACATATCATCCTACTTAAAAAGACGTATAACCATATGATTGAAGCATTACTGCAACTAACAAACATGTGCATTTGGGTCAAGCCACTTGAGTCTTAGGTCAGCCCATGCCAAATTGCACCCATTATGAATTTTACTTCTTTAATTTGATTTACTAAAATAAAATGCCAGGTGGGAAAATAAGCCTATATTGTCACATTTGGAGACGGCTATTGAACTGCTGATTTCTGAACAGGAAAAAAAAAGGGTCACATGGTAAAGTATGTAACCTATTTTGTGATGCCATCTCAGCTATTACCTGTAAAAACTAAAAACTATATATAAACAAGGTTCCCAGCCTGTTCTGTCTAAATAACTGACCTGATTTCTTTTTGCTTACTTTTTTCTTCGAAACTTGGTTACTATAATCTCAACTATGAAACTTATAATTCCCTCTATTTTCTTTTAATGAGTGTATGTATATCCAACCTGCCAATGTAACAAGGTGGGTCACCTATTATACCCTGATAAGATGTGATTGACACATTCTCGTGTTTGTGTAATTCTTCAGTTGGTTTCCAATAGAGAGTCTTTAGTGACATATTGCTGGAAATACAGAGAAGCAATTTCTTTGTATCAATTCTATCTTCCTGCAACTGAGCATATTATCATTATCAAGAATTGACTATTTTGAGTATTCGCTATGGGTCCAAATGCTAGATCTCAGCCACAATGTAACTTTGGTCAATTGAAGGTAGGATGATCCACAAATACTGTAAGACTGTTTACTTTGTTGGACTCTTTGGATTGCATTCGTTCTATTTTTCTCCTTTTTCCCATTAATAAGGCTTTATGTTGCCAGTGAAAGAAATAGGAGAAAATAGTAATTGCAATCACTATTATGGGTTAAGGTTTAGGTTTATCATGTAAAAAGTGGGAAATTAGTAAGAAATATACCTTTTTTTTGTATTTTCACTTTAAATCTTGATATTTCTACCCACATTATTTCTTATTTGCTTTAGCTATTCCTTGGTGAAATTTCATAGTCTTCTTGCAGAGTCGCTTGTCTAATTACATCGATTGACCCTATGACTGGAATGTTAAATTTGCAGCATCCTTTTGTCCTAGTACTTGTTAAGAGTTTGAATTTTTGTCTACAAAAGGAAATGAGTGTGTAGAGACTGGTTACTGGGTCTTTTAACAGGTTTGGAGTTAATGCAACTTCTTTCTTTCTTGAATGTAAGCAACAATGAGCTTAGTAATTTTACTGCATTAGAGCCTTTGAAACTGTTCAAGTCTTTAAAGGTGTTAGATATCTCCTACAATGAGGTTGGTGCACACTCTATTGACAACTCAAGGTATTTGTGCTCTTCTCTTGTCTCATATGGTAGATGATGATTGGGAAGCAGTAGTGATATTAAAGGCCCGTATATGAC